GCCGTCCCGAAGCTAGCTCGAAAAAGACAAAGGATGATCGATCTGGCCCACGGTAGGCAGGTCCGTAGCTACGAGGCTCGGAATGGAAATGCTGGGCCCCAGCATCAATATAAATTAGGGGACCTAGTGCAGGTACGTAAATGTGCACGCGACCGGAAACTCGCTCCCAAGTTTTCTGGCTGTTTTCGTGTTGTCGAGCTCGGACCCAACGGCGCCAACACAGTGCGCATCGTGCCTGAGGCTAGTGCCAGCCATAGCTCTGTCCCCATCGTCCGGCATACCTCCTACCTCCGTCCTCTTCCTCCCTCTCATCTTCCTCCCTCTCCCTCCTCCGAAAGCGAGGAGAACGACGATGATCTAACTCTCTCTCCGCTCTCTCCCTCCTGCCCTTCGTCTTTCTGCCCGTCCTCGCCATGAGCTTCATCACGGAGCGAGCTCTAGATGATCAACTGCTGCAGCCACGTGGCCACATCTCAGAAATTCGGCAAGTTCGTCATCCACGGCTTAATACGGATCTTCGGCGTTTGGCGCAATTCTTCTGCGACGTGGGTGTGTGTGCCGCCGCCGCGTTTCGATTCGAAGGGAGCTCACAGGCAGTGGTACTGGCGGAGGTAATAGCAGTTCATCGGCGAGCGGCTCCCGGAACGAGCCACGTCACCACGGTTGCGGCTTTCAGCGGCGACATCAGTTCGGTCAATCCACGGTGGCATACCACGATCTTGACCTCGCTGCGAGAGTGGTCGGAGCAGGTGTCCAACGTGTGGCAGCACGGCCTCGCCCGACCAGGGCACAACCTCATCCCGACCTTTGCGCCGGATTTTGGCAAGATCCGCCGCTCTCCGCGCGGGCCGCCGATTCCGATCCCCACCCTCGTCCCTTTCCCACGCCCCCAATGAACCACGCCGTTCCTCTCGCTCCTCTCTCCATCTTTAGTCTCCCCTCTCTTTTCCCCCCCTTCTGGCAGTCCGATCTTCATCCTTATCTTTCCTTCTCGTTCGAGCCTCTTTTTGTCCCGCTCATTAATCCTGGGCATTGGCGACTGTGGCGCGAAACTTTTGACGAGTTGTCCTTGTGTTTGGCCCGAGTACAGGTGACGTAGACGCAAACCAGCGAGCATCCTGTGTGGATCGAAAATTTGGAGCTGCTGATTATACAAGCTTGGAAGACCAACATGGAGGGCGATTTTCTCGGCTTTCTCTTTGGATCGGTACGGCCGGGCCGCCGCCAGTTGATTGTGCAGGAGCTCATCGCGCCGATCGTCCAATTAGCGGACGATCTCTCGCCCGACATCGTCTCGCAAGGTGACGACAACCCTGCCCCGCACGTCCTCACGCGGTCGTTGGATCCGTACCTTCAGTGGACTATGTGCTTGGAGGAGCCCAGGGACGAAGAGACGCTACTATCATGGCAGGAGTATCTGAAGCCTTACGACACCATCCCTCACGCCTTCTATCCGAAGGCGGAGGAAGTAATGATCGACGATGACGAAAGAGACGACGACGAGGAAACGTTGGAGGAGGGAAGCTATAACGAGTATAGCGAGGGCGAGTTGAGTGAAGAAGAAGAAGAAGAAGAGGAGGAGGAAGAAACCGGATCTAAGTGGGAAGCCCTGCCGGAGGAAGCAGCGCGCACAGGCACGGAGGCGGAAGATCCTGAGGCTGCGAGTAGGCGAGAAGAGATTGAGATCGAAAAACGAGCTAAAAGAAACGACGTTAACATTTATTAATCACGCGTGCGGTGGCACGCCAGACATCCATCCGACCAACCATTCTACCGGCCGTCCCAGCACACCCAGCCCCGAAGAAGCGACGAAAAAGACGAAGAAGCAAGGGTACTGATGCAATTTTCCACCGATCCCAATTTCCCGTAATTGGCCCAATCTTCCCAGCTTAGGACCCCTCGTTGGAACCGAGCAGAAACTCGCGCATTACAGAAAGTGGTTCGTCACATATGTGACGCCCAGGGGGTTCCAATATTAGCAAGCTCCTGCTTGCTTGTTGACACATGTCGATTTCTCTAATCGATCGACACGCGGAGCGCTTCACTTTATGCCACTTACTGTTCCATTGCGTGCGGACGTCATCCAACGTGGCAGTTCTACTCTTCTACTAGTTCTTTAGATTGGGCTCTCGACRATCCAAGGACGGGATCTTTCTCGTGTCGTCGCCGCGACACATGCCATCAACCATGCATCAGTGTAACAGGGGGGTAGATCCTAGACCTTAAACGTTCCCGGGGAATGGCAGCCGGATCATCAAGGGTGGAGGTGGCGGATGGTTCAGGGGGAGAGGGGGCATGAAGCGGTTGATGGCGGGAGAGGCGAAATTAGGAAGGGTAGCGTAGTGGAAGRAGCGATGGATGCGGGGGAAACGAGGGACCTCATGAAGATGACAAAAAGCGGCAATATAATCGGGGTAGATGGTGGAGATGGTCCGTCGCAGGGCGGCACGAAAATCTTCATAATTTTCGCAGGCGGGAATAGTCCCTGACAGATGGCGTCAACATAGACTCTGGCTGGATCGTTTGTTGATACGCTTGGTTTCTCATTCATCACTCTGTTCTCTCTCTCTCTCTCTCCTTCTCCGCCATAACATGCAATCAGGAGATCGCATAATTTTGGAACCCCCTGCGCATCACATATGTGACGAACTACTTCCCGAACCCGTGCTATCTTTCGTACCCTTTTTACTTGTATCATACCAACCCCATAAAAACCCCATTTCGTTTTCTTGGTTTCGGGTACCGCATTTTGGGCCCCCATCTTTCGGAAGCTTTTACGATTCCTGGGTTCTGCTTTTTCTTTTTGCAATTCGGGAAATACATAGGAATTTACGTGCGCCTTAGCGAGCGCACTGGGAATTGGGCCCGACAGTTGGGAATTCCGGGATAAGCGGAACTTCGACGTGTCCTTTTTGTGTGTGAATGTTCTCGATCTCGTTGGGGAAAACTCTCGGAATTTTGTGGGGATACGAATAGGCGTAGGACTTTCTTTTCTCGTGTCGCTCTTTCGCGCGCGGATATGGTGATTTCAATTTTGAATTGGTTTAGGATGTAGGCAAGCTGTAACTGTTTCGGTGCCTTTTTCTTTTTTTTGTTGACAGCGCCACACATGCAAAGCTTTCTCCTCTCTGTCCCCCGCATCGCTCTCTCCCACGCTCCTTTTTCCTTTCCCCTCCTCTTCCTCTCTCCTCATAAATGTTTTTCTTCCTCTCTCTCTCTCTCCCGCTCTACTCTTTGCGCGCCCATTTCCCCTTCTTGATCTTCTGAATCTTGGACCCGTCTTGTGCTACTTCTCGCACCTTTTCTTTTCTCGCCCTTCGAGCAAAGCTTGCGACGTCCGGTCGATCCTTTGATCACTCTCGCCCACCAATCACACGCGTGGTACGGTAGGATCTGCCTATTGCGCGACGAGTCTGATTGGCCAATCACCGAGTTCCGAAGGATCAACATGACTTCTATAGCGCGCTTCTCTTCAAGTCTTCTCCTCCTGCTTCTCTTCTTACACTTCGACTTTCCCCCTGCACTCTCTCTCCCTTGTCTCCTTCCTCGCCACTATAAATTTTGCAAACGCGCCCGCAAATCTCTCTTACGTTCTCGACTTCTGAGCCAGCTTCCGGAAAGCAGTGGCTAGGCAGAGTGTTTGATGCGAGTCGGAAAGTCCTGTCGGGCTGTCGATAGGCTGGCCGGTTGCGCGCTTGATCGCCACGACGGACTGTGGGATCTAGGCGAACCGCGTCGAGTTTACGTCAACGGGGTGACGATCGCAATGGTGGGAGTTAGCACGCGACGGTCGGGATCGTTGGTGCGGGTATGAGGATCAACGATTGGAGTTGAGTGGGTGATTGGCCCGGGGCCATATTGGAATTAACGACGAATGCGCCTTTATTGTTGCGGATCTTTATCTCTAGCGTGAGTGCACGGCGGCAACGCCGAACTTCCTCCTTTCGGATCTTGTCATCTCCTATCTCGACTTTCGTCCCTCATCTCCCTCTCTCTCTTCTATCTTTGAATGATGATGTGTTCCGGTGTTTGTCTCCCCCTTGGATGGGAATGAATCTGTGTGCTTTCCGGTGTGAAAGAACTTCTTCCGGAACTCTTCCATTAGTTTCCTGGGTAATCCCCATATGTCGAGGAATTGATCCTCTTGTCTTGTGAACGGTGGATGCGTGTGTACAATTCCCTCGGTTGATTTCTGACTCGTATACCCCTGTCATTTTCGCACCTTCCACAGTGAATGTATGTATGAAGATGCGCATCTTTTCGTGTTGATTAGATGCAGCCCCCAACAGGATTTTGTTCGAGAATGCAAGAGTGTTTAGATCTGTAGTTCTGAAAGCCCTGCGCATGCCATCTGCCTTATGCTGCACAACATCAGCAACCGAGCCACCGGGCAACCTCGGGAAACAAGGCGCCCTGGATCAACGCCGCGTTGGCTTACTAAACCTGAGTCGCGGGTCGGTCCCTTAGTTACATGCCTGATCAAGATGATGAGTGTTTTTTTTTTTTTTTTTTT